TAGATCTTTTGAATTTATTGTTTTTAGGTCTGCTGACATGAGTATATAAACATTCTACTCCCCCCCACTTAACGTTTTTAGGTCTGCTGACATGAGTATATAAATATTTATCCCCCCCCCACTTAACGTTTTTAGGTCTGCTGACATGAGTATATAAATATTTTACTCCCCCCCCACTTAACGTTTTTTCGCGGGTCGGTCATAGGCACTAGCAAAGGTACATGTAAGCGTTGAAGAAGGCTGGAAATAATTATAGTTTTTATGAGTTTAAACTACAGTTCGCCATGCATGCAACTCGTTTGCATAACTCGAGGTATATAATCTTCCCTTGCATTGCATTATCTAAATAACTCTGATTAAATGCGTTGCGATGCGCTTCATTGAATGCTTTAAGATACGAATAAGTTTAATTGGAAAATAACAAGGTCTTGTCTGATGACATAATATTTCATTGGATTCCGCATTTCGCAAATAACCTTCCACTTCATTCGCGACGTCGCGCTTATGGCGTATTTTTTGGCCTCGTATTACACAAAAAGTCTGTGGAGAATAATAACTCTCTTGCAAACAGAACTCGCGTGATTACAAAACTCTCAACAACTTCCGATTGTGAACATTTTGTATCCGCATTGTGTGAATAATTCTGCCACGATGTGCGCAAACGTCGCATATTTTGCGCATCTCCAGGATCGCATTACCACTCATCCCGAACGGAAAACCATGGAAGAGAAATGTCATACCAGTAGCAGTTTCTTTAACGAGTCCACTTGAATTTTCGCGAAATTTATCGTGTTCTTTACTTGACAGATCCGCGATATATTATAGTAAATCGCATGTAAAAACTACAGGCTACGTATAGGAAATACGCAAGGTGACCAGAGATTAGATTGTCTCCCCAAATACGTCACAGCTATCATCCACTGAAAACATTCTCAGTCATGCGTTCTACACGTGCAACCTTACATGATCCCTGAGGATGACGACTCAATAAAAAAGTGTGAATTTGCTGTCAATACCTTGCCATGCCTGAAGCAAATGGTCGATCGTCATTGAATGACCGACGTGAGGTTCTTGTTAAAATAGAGAACCGTTTAAAATTGAACAGAATTCGAAAATATTGCAAATTCATTCATGCTATGATTTCTAACTAAAAGTACAGTACGCGAGACAGACTGGAAAGGTCTACCAGAGCTTATCCTTCTTCACCTAAGATTAAAAATACGAGATTAGATGCTGTTTTTGTCATATTTTCTGCAAGTTGTTTTTTTGCTTTTAATGTTTTATAAAAGAATGAGCAATCGATTCTCTCTCGCCCTGATGTATGCGAGCCTTGTGGTACTACTGTCAATAGGCTTCCTTGCGACCATTCGAAATCGCCAATTCTTAAAATATTTAGATTAACTAGCGCACTTGTAACTGTTGTCATGAATATCTAGACATTGCTGGGGATTACGGTGATCGACGCAATAATTGCTCATGCTATAAATTAAATAGCAGTCAAATCCTACGCCAAAACAATCGGGCAAAACCGGTTAACAGTTTTGTTTTTACGTCTTATCAAAACCTTTTTAAGGTGTGTTCACAAGTGTTTTATTTGGTTGATTTTCCCTATTTTGGTCTCGCCTAAATGTTGAAGACGAAAAGTGCTTGTTGATGATGTCGAATCGTCGCTAATATCTGCGCACGTGTAGTTCGAGTAACATCAACGTACATCAGAATCGTTCGAGCAAATCTCCCTGTGAGTGAGGTAACAGCTTAGTAGCAATAAATGCTTGTCAGTTGATGTTTTTAATGAAAGGAAGGTCTTTAAGCGAATAGTGGTTTAAATTGATCACGGATTTCCGGCTTTCTTTACCAGACTGCGATCGGTTGTTCGAAAGGCGTTTAGCTTGAACGGTGGATAAACCAAATTTTAAAAATACTCTCATAGGTCTTGCAAATCATTGAACCTGTATCTTATGCATTAAATATGCACTTTCATTGAAAATTAGACTATTTACATCGAAATATTTCAGCTCAGTTGTTCAATAAAAAGATAATTTTGTTTTCTGTCTTGAACTTATCCACCGTTTAAGCTAAACGCCTTTCGAACAACCGGCCCCTGGACTATAAAAGACGAGATTCACAAAATCATAGAAAAACAACTTGCAGTACAGGGTGGTTATAGTTGAAAAGGGGTATTCCCTGCAGGGTAATCCATAGTTATATAGAGAGAGACCTTAGACCTATGGCGTCCATCTTTATGGCCACAGCGAACTCTCAATTCGATTCTTGGCCTTGGCATCAGTCTCACCAAGGACAACGTGTCCATTATCAATTGTGTGGAGACATTTTATTTTACGTTTGAGAAGAGTTCTACGAAGTCGAATTTTGAATCGCACTTGCACGCGAAAATCGGATTTGCGACATTGTAAACAAAAAAGAACGTCGTCTGAAACTCCCTATGGGACTTGAAATATTAAACTTATGGGACTAAAAATATGGGACTTGAAATCATTATTAATTGCTGTCGCGATTAACGTCGACGTTCTTGGCAAATATTGCGTTAAATTTGCGTGAGAAATAAATAATTCTAAGTGCAGCTGGGTTTTTAAGTTCGGTCAATTTGCACAGCCTTGGTAGTGGTATTTTAAGGCAAAGATGTTATATACTGTAGTCACTCGTGTTGAATTGTGGGTTGCCCGTTTCGAGATCTCTAAAAATGTCTCCCTATATTCAAAACATTTTGAAATAAAGTTTATCAACATAGGAACATATCATTTAGTCAGTCGTCTATGAGAGTTAAATTTCATGACGTTTCCCCAGGGCCCGTTGCATAGAGTTGACCAATCTTTATTCTTGGGGTCCGAAATCCGCAAAAAATTTTAAAATTAGATTCAAATCTGCAGTTTAATTTAACTAATTCGTATTCATAACCGTTATCCCATGTGGGTGTGTGGACTTTGTATGAATTATGACTGCATGTAATCCATAGATATTTTTAACCTTGACGTTTTTGCGAATATATCTGCGCCGGTGCGTCTGGTTTTAAAAGCGGCGATTATGCATATTCACATTTGCTTTTTAAAAATTATCATGTATGCATACCCTCAGAGTCGTCCCTAGACGTTAAATTGGGGGGGGGCGCATATTCATATATATATCCGTCTAGGTCTGTCTGATTTCCTTTGAAAGCTGTTCTTTTTTTTGTTATTTGAACATGAATATATGAATGCACAAAACAGTCAAAACTAGTTGAGTGGTTCAACCGGCTCATCGTCGTCTTATGTGAACCAGCCCTTCTACCAATTATCACACGATTTCTCAAAGCTTGGTAAAAGAAAGTGAATATATTTTAAAAGCCGAAACATCTTTTGACATAATGCTGATTATTAAACTTAAATAGATTTTAGCCTCTCGTCTGACAATTGCCCTTTTCGAATTGTACTTCATCCGGAAATTTGGGATTCGATTTTCTACCGTTGGTTGATGCGAATATGTGCATAAGCCACGTATGTTCAAATACGGAAACTTCTACATCAGAATATAAGAGAATATCTTAACTATCGGCTCGTTCTCATCTGCCAAAAGAAGAAGATTAAAATTTCAAACGTGCCTGCACCGCGCTACCGTATACAAGTCTGATTTGAACGTCAACCGTCTGGAATGTCGTTGAATTTCGGAAATGCAATTTGGGCAATTTGGAAATAAGGCAAAACCGCGCGTGTAACCGCGAAAAAATAATTGGGCCCACTCAAAAGCAACTGGTGTTGAACTAGTTTAATAGTTAACTTCTGATCAGATTTCTTGATCAAATCTTCTGACTCGAAGGAAAAGATCATGCGTTTAGCCATGTTTTTGTGCCGTTTGCTTTTTCTGCGGTGGTTCCGTAAACACGAGCATGCAAGCGCAGCTAGATATCAATGGAATGAAAAAAAAAGTTGACAAGGAATATCTTTCACGCATTATTTGTCCGAAAACAATACCCGCCTACTCGAGAGAATGCGTGTTTTCGTCTTGTCATCATTTCGAGCAGATATGAAACGAGTACGCACAGCCGTGAATAAACAAGAAGTCCGTTTTTGTCTCTAATTAATATATCTATAAAGCATTGTAAACATCGGTCATCGCAAACGCCTGTGAGTAATCACAGACCCCTTACAAAGGCTAATTGAATCAAGCTCAATGATTCGGTCGCCGTGAATCACCTCTTGCGTGTCTCGAATAATTCCTCTTGCACACGAATACACTTCTTAGAATACGTGGTAGATTTCATTCGATAAGTTTCATGACTTGCGCGTGCACGCGATTTGCGATAAACAATGTTTCCCATCGATGTCTGCATGATTTTCTCGCGACTTTTTAGCTTATAAAGATCGCAGCGGCTATGCAAGATAGCTAGATGTATTATCGCCGCCGAGTGGCGAGTATAATATTGCTGCTTGAACTATGAATGTTCGGCAGCTGCATTTACTTTGGAAATCTTTCATGCTAAACCGAGGGTTCTAATGAAACATTGATAAACGATTTAATGAGATAACGACATTAATTAAAACTCTCTTCGCTAGGAAGTCATTAAAATGCTTTGGAATTGCATTCATTGACTGTTTCATTTCACCGGAGTATCGCGATAAACTAAATCCCAAAGGCGCTTTGCATGTAGAACTGTTGTATGGCAATAATCTGAATGGCAAAAGCTTGAACTTTGAATCGTTCGTGAATCGTGTGCTTTGTATTAGGCGACTCCATTCGCTTATTAAATATACATATTTGTGTAAACTTTGTATAAATATACAAATGACTTCCGCACTGACATACATCACTTGTATGCGTCGGAAGAATGGTCAATCAAGTATGGAAAGGATTGTTTTTTTGATACTCAAGTGTCGATGGTTGGGTCAAAATGCCAAACCGCGTCGGGATACAAAACTACGCACTTCTGCCCTGAATGAGGTTGATAGACGTCGGGCGGACTCGTGAATATTTGAATATTTAATTAGAGTATTCTGATACTTATATAGGTCGTCGCCGTGGTAAGAACAGTCCAGATTGATGTGCGTCGAAGTCCAAAGTGTTCTGTTTCTCCAATTAGATGATTCGCAAAGTCAACACTTAACTACAACAGTCGAGGTAAGAAGATATAGTGATACATGTACTATACCTAATCAACACGTAAATTCGCGATATTCTATCTGTTGTTTAAAATCTCCGTCTTTTATTTTCAATCTTTCCGGAATACAGATTTTATTCATGGGGGTAGCAGAATAGCGATAGAGCTTAGGATAGAATTGTTTCTCTTTTCAAAATCATCTGCTCTATGTGTATATATATATGTCTAGATAAATACTAGCTTAATTGAGAAAACAAAATATCGTTGTAATCAGACAGCCTGATTTAATCCACGCGAATTAAATAATCTGCACGCGTTGAAGGCACAGGGATTATCCCTGGATTTCCTTAATACATGCAAAGTGAAATGTACAATATTTGGGAGAAATGTACCCACCGAAACAAGTCTAATTACGAACCAAATCATAATTGCACTCTACTGGGGTCTATATGAAATAGAATTTGTTTAAATATGGTGAAATCTCGAGGCAAGCCGGTAAACTCCACAAGGTTTTCAAAACAACGCGTATGTTTGTTAATAAAAGTTAGTTTTTTACGGTTTCCGATATCATTTCATACCGTATTGATACAAAACTGTATATATAGAGGCTCCGTATTCAAATGCAAAACAAAGATCAATTTAAGATATGGAATTTATATTTAGAAGTTTATTTTTTTATATTCATACTTTCCTTTCCTGCTCTTTTTATAATGAATTCATAATCAGTTAATCGGCAATTGGATTACATAAAAAATGAAAAATCCGCATAGTTAGACAAAAATATATTTAGTGCTGTTATGACCTAATCATACGACTCATATTTTATGGTTTTGACGTTTTTTGGTTCAAAGATTTATTAATGTTCTTCCGTCTGCCCGATGTACGCATGCAGGCTTCATTTTCATAATTCCAACTGCCAGTCGTATAGGTTTGTTCAATGGCATATTTTGAAATTTTAATTTATTACATTTTTCATGACATGCAGAATTGGCATGGTATATATCAAATTTCTCCATACACCATTGATAAATTGGTCCTAAATTTCCAGGACACCTTTAAAACCATGTAACCTTAAAAACATTTACTTGAAAAACTTTAAAATTGCTCTGAAAACATATGTTTATGCCCTACTTCGTGTTACATTAATCATTCTTTCTCGAATCTGCTAAAAAAACTTTAAAATCACTTTTCTGCATGCAGTTCAATTTTGTAGCTATACATGCATGTAATTTAGCCAAAACAAGCAGTTTGAGAGACAGTGGTTTCCTTGATGAATAATTGATTTCTCTTTTTATTGCATATTCAATAGGCCCATGTCACATATTGTCACTCATATATCCTTATCATGAATGTATTATAGTTAAAATCAGAGCATTTTTGTTTTGAACGATTTCTGTATCAGACTGAATCACAAATTATAGATGCGGGGTTTTTTACCCGAGACTCCTTCACGCGAATCGACTTATATAACTTCAATTAGTTCCAGATGCTGACGCTGAAAACGAGAACAAAATTGGCGCTTCGAGCAAAAGTGTTTCGTCTTGTGTGAAGAACTAGCTTAAGATCCAGATACGCGGTTCCAGAAAAGGTTTTCCCGCAGCATTTATCGCGACAGCAATCTTAGTGTGTGATTTTCAATTTACATGCAGCTGACAGACTTCACACTGTGACTGTCACATGCAAACAAGATAATTGGAGAGATAACAACACAATTTTCAATATTCAGATCCAGCGGTCCATTATCGCGATTTTTTTTTCTTTGCTGAATTGAATCTGTTTTGATTCCCATATGCACCGCATTCAAAACATCCCAGGCAATATACAATATATGCAATTATCCCGCCATACCGTTCGCTATAGAGTGGAACTATACACCGTCACCGCAAATTAGGATTTAAACATTAGTAGATTTATAGCTTTGTAACAAATGGATTTAAGTTGATTGAATTTAATCACCTATTTTTATTCCATTTTTTCGTTACTTTATAAATTAATCAATGTTGAGATCAATATTGGCTCGTTCCGTCTCGTCCTTATTTAGATTTATATATTTTTATACTCATGACGTACACGATTGTCTTATTTTAAAGTGTTTTGCTTGATCCACACCACACATCGACACGCACGCTTTGCTTCAACAACAAAATTCATCATTTCGGGTTATGGAAGTGAAGAACAGCCCCTCCTCTTTCTTAAGTAAGGAGGAGGTCAGTAAGATACTGCGGTTTACGAGACTCATCATCAGTATAATAGCTCGCAGGTTGTTCATATAGTCCATCGCTAGCTTTACATTGAAAGTTAATTTTTGTGACAACTGTTGTAGGAATTTCACATTTATAAACTCCTGTATATTCTGAGGATTCTTTTACGAATATAAGGGCTCGTAAACAAGCTTAAGTTTCAGCAACATTTTATCTTCCCCAATATTTCCAGCCAATCCTGCGCAAGGTTGTAAGAAAGAGATTTTAGCAGGGTGTAAAAGGGGTCGCTAATTTTGTCAGTATGCAAGAATCAGCTTAAATATAAAATTGCAACACTATATCGGTATGACTGCATGCTAATAGGGCGTAAGCTAAGCTTTATTTGCGCATGTTTACCTGCATGCTATTTCATGATGTTGCGATATCTCAGTATAGAATAGAATGGAAATATTCTCACATGTCATGTTTCCTTTTTTGATGGTTAGTTTAAGTAACAATTTTTATGAATTAATCATATTAAAGGTTTCCGTTTCTGAGATAATACAGGCTTGAATACAGCAATCCCGTTTTGAAAGATTAGTTCAGACTCTAACAATTGTTCATAACCTTTAAATCCTCCCGGACAGGATGTATTTTGCTTGTATTGTTTACGATAGCCATAACTAGCTATGTAAATGGTACATTGATCGGATTCGCACTCTTACAAAATTACAGACAAAATTTTTTCTATGATTTCCAGTACAGGATTACATGTATAACGGTTTTGGATTTCGCAACAGCAATGTTTCGTGAAAATTATATAGCCTTCGTGAGATTTCATGAATTTTCGAATGCGTTATTAGATTATGCAGGGGATGTTTTTCGACAGCAGGATAGTTTCTAAACACCTCAGTTTTGGCATTTGTGGTTTGAAAACGAGTCAAAAATTTTAATAATTCAATTCATTTTCAAAATTCCCTCTCTTGGATTTAGTCCAAGGTGGAATAAATGGATTCGGGTTCGTGTTAACAGAATGATCTGTCTGCAAGTTTACGCTGAATCAATCTTCGACACGATTGCCGTGAATGGAAGCTATGCATGTTGAATATGATTCATTGCCAAGTGACTATTGTGACAGCTAGAGGTGTTTTTCAGGAAAAAAATCTTGTTTTTATATCTTGTTAATGTTAATGGGGTTAGCTTTTCTGATAGAGGTGCGAAATGCCTGCATATAAATTGTCTAAATTTCCAAAAATCTTCGTTGTTATTGTCTATATATAGTGTTATCTGCATGAGTTTTTTTTATGACCTCAAACCCATGTCCAAGAAATGTATCTGAACCGCGAAAAACGAGTCTTATAAAACATTAAAACGGAGAGAAATATTGGAAAGGACAAAATTTCAATAAAGTATTCCATGAAAGTCTTAGTACCCATTATATACTGTGGCTATATAGTCGTTTATATTAAATTAAATTGTTTATGTCCACGCGAAGTTTATAGTCATCTCAAAATGAGGCTAAAATTGAGTATAAGCTTTATATAGTAGCAAGTTCTCCAATTGAAATGCAACAGATAGCCTCTTCAACCTGTAAATGTAACGTTTCCATTGAACAATTCGATGCATTATGTTCAAGTTAATGCTTTTTGTCTTGATCACGGCAAAGTGTTAGACAAGACATCGTTGTAATGAAATGCAACAGTCCTATCAATTAACTTAATTTTGTGTGTCGATATATTATGTTGCTGTAGCTATAAGCGGGTTCTCTGTGAGCGTGGCAAAGTTATAGAAAAGATATCGTTAGAATTTATCCTGCTAATTGTAGGTGCTCTAGTATATTTGAAACAATTTCCATAGTTAAACATAGATATGGGGATATTTTGTTTCTTATAATTATTTATTGATAAGTTTCTCCAATTAAGAGCTCTTGGTTCGAGGGGATTAGAACTTTGCATTCCTAAATTGACTATGACGCAATTCAAGAGCTCTCTACTTTATACTTAGGTAGTTTTATCTAGGATTTAGATTCCAAAGTAGGAGGATTGTTTCATGCACGCGCTTCGGCTGACATGACTGTCTGCACGAGGTATGTCCTTCCTATAGATTCCCAATGCAGTTGAGGAAGAATAGTGTGGCAATACTGAAGTTGCATTATGGGACTGTTTTCGGACGAGGAAAAAGTCGTCGACCCATGAGCAGTCCCATGATGCATTGTGAATTTTAGTACCACTCTTTCCCGACTTAGACATGAAAGAAATCTCTTATAAATAGATTTTGATCATGCGCGTAGTCAGTCAGATATAACGTATGTTGACTATAAATGATTTTATTTACGTCATAATTCCGCCATATTGGCGCGAATTTGGAAACGGAAAATCCATGAATTTTATGGCCTTATACACCGGAGAATCCTGCGGTGCGCACCGTCCTGGCCCCTCTAACGTAAATTTAGTTCATTCATTCAGTTAAAGATTGCAATACCGTTCGGACTGCCCTGACTGAGATCTTAAAACAACAAACCAGGTTCGTTTAGTGACTCTTCTTGTAGAATATACGACCCCGAAAGGTTGTCTGGCTCAAATTTAGCGATCGCGTGATTTTCCAACCAAAAACCAAATGTAGCCGCAAGTTGCGAATTCCAACATATGACCTCACATGTTATTCGACCTGATGGATCGTGTCAGGGTCTGACAAATGCTTTTTTAACCTAAACGAGGTCATTTGTAGAGTTTTAAAATGGTCAAGTGGTTTTTAATTCAGCAATAAATAGATTTGCGGGGGGTGTTTTGTGAAAGAGTCCTGCATGAACCTCCTGTGAAACAATCACTGATGATGATTTC